TGCTTGTATATATTCCAAATGTTTGTATTCCAAAACATGCACGGAAGGCAAAAACCATTAAAGATTGCCAAACTTTATGCCTGAAGGGTAGGTAAGAATGTACACTTCAGCCTAAAGTGGTGGTAAAGCTTCTGACAGCTAATTTTAAAATCTGCTCAACCTCAGCAGGCTTAGAAATTATTAGCAGACTTTGAAATGTCGAAACCGTACATGCGCACATAGCAGGGTAGTAGTCCCCTTGAATTCAGCAGGACTTTCACCAAGTAAACATGCTTAGGGCATCACTGGGACAATGTACATTTGGCTACCTATCAGCACAAACTTAGTCAATATTCTTCATTTGTGTGGAAACTAGCTGCAGACCTTGCACAACTCGCAGGTGAGTTGAGCTTGTTTTTGTTTTGACGAAGTCAAGCCACCTCAGCCCTTGGGAAACTTCTGATACCATAGCATGGGAAACCGCAGAGGAGGAGGAACAGAGCAGATCAACCACAAAGAGGAAATATCACTTTCAAAGCCGGAAAAAGAGAAATGAGCCTGGAAATGAGCTGTCTACATAGCTAGAGCTGGTTGATCCACAGTACTAGGCTCAGTTAATATAAGGATCTTTTATTATTATTCATTAGCAGCTCTGCATACCAAAGGAGTGACTCAGGTCTGTGAAGTGGCAGCACTTTCTATTCACAGCAGCAGACATCAGGTCCATACTGATAACCGCAAGTGAACAGAGTTTCTTCATCCCTGGGGTACGGGAGAAGCGGAGACTCTCGAGGGAGAATTTGAATAAAAAGAATGAAGCAAACCCAGTAACCGCTGTGGACAAGGCATATTATAATGTTATCTCTGGCACAGCTATTTTGTTATTGATAACCTCAGAAAAGCTTTTAGTATGGTTTGTTAAGCCATATCAGGAATTCATCCCTCAATTGCAGTACTGTACATGAAACGCTGTCCTTTAAAAAATGTAAACACAACCTTTGGGAAATTGGAGATAACAGATCCTTTTAAGAGATTCTCCCTCTTTGGCGTACATAACCATTTTATTCATGGATAAACATTTTCCACAGGTTTCTGAAAGGCTGGTCTTGCTGCCACTGTTAATAAACTACAGAAGCTATAGGACTGCACCTTCGTCCCCAGGACAGGACCAGATTTTCAGCAATAAGGGAATTTACACCAGTGTTGCTGCATAGGCTTCCTTGCTCAGCAATGAAGCAGAACACTTTGATAAACCACAATTTCTCAGCTTAATCTGCCTCACAGGGAAGTTGTGAGAAAAATGAAGTAATACTCTGTAAAAAAAATCTTGACACAGAGTGCAGGAAAGATTTCAAAATTATTAATCTCTGCTCCATAGTCCCCATGATGTTTTGATAAAGTGTCCAGAAGCAGAAGAGGCTAGGGCCAGGTCTTCTGTATCTTTAACTGGCCCACAGAAGAGGGCATTCCGGAAGGTGCAGTTTTCCTAACCCTTCCAAAACTCCCTCTTCTAAATGCAATCCTCCATCTTCCTCTAATCCCAGATACGATTTGAAGAACCGATCAGCTGCTGTATTTTATTCGAGGGACTTCCCAAGCCTTGACAGGCAGGCACTGAAGAACGCCCTCGCGTCAAGTTATTTTGTTCCATAATATGGAATAAATTCTCAGAGCAACACACCAGCATCATTCTCCAAACAAAGATCTTCTCCATTTTCTTGTGGTCAGGTTCATGAATATGCAATCTGCTGAATACGTCTCTTTTACGCCTTCTTTGCAATCAAGGGATTGCCAGTTGGGTAAACGTGTCCACCCCTCAAGTGATGCTGTTCCCCAGCAACCTGACTTTTATTGCCAGGGGGGACCCTTCTGGTGAGATACTTCGGCTTACAAGCCCATCTGAATCCTTCTGGGGTGGGGATCCAGCTTTGCACAATAAAGCTTCAGGCCCATGCACACCGCAGTGTGAGAGGAATGTTAAGCAGCTTTTGAAGAACTCCAGGGATTGGGGGGGGGCGGCTTTCAGGTGAAAGTGTTGGCTAATGAATATTGTGTGTGGTACTTAGGAGGTGATAAGACAGTGTTGGGTTTTGAGGACTCCCAGGAGCTGTGTTTCTCTGACAGCCGGTCAGGTCATCTGAAATGCATACATATTGGATACCGTTCATCTACCAAAGATTATTTGCACGCTTTTGACATATTGCTTCTTTTCCAGAAGTCACATGAAGAATTTCCACCTATCAGTTGCTTTATCCCTGCATCATTTCACCTGAAGTATAAACACACACAAAACTAACACAACCCTGATTCTGGTTGTTGTTGCTATAAATTTCAGTGGAGAATGCATTGTAGGGTACAGGCACATTGCACGAGAGAACAGTTCTTTTTTTCCTTTTCCTTTTTAAAAAATAGGGGGAGGGAACACTTCTATAAACTTCTTTCATGCTATCTCATACTCGCCTTTCCTGAGGGGATGCAGGTAGCACTGTGGTCTAAACCACCAAACCGCTTGGGCTTGCCGATTATAAAGTCGGCAGTTCAAATCCCCGTGACGGGGTGAGCTCCCGTTGCTCTGTCCCAGCTCCTGCCAACCTAGCAGTTCGAAACCATACCAGTCCAAGTAAATAAATAGGTACCGCTGCGGCATGAAAGCAAACGGTGTTTCTGTGCGCTCTGACACTTGTCATGGTGTTCCATGCTCCAGAAGTGGTTTAGTTATGCTGGCCACATAACCCAGAAAGCTGTCTGGAGACAAATGCCAGCTCCTTCAGTCTGAAAGCAGATATGAGCGCTGCACTCCATAGCCAAATTCAACTGACTTAACCGTCCAGGGGTCCTGTACTTTTACCTCACCTTTGCTCACCTTTTCTCTAAACTAAAAAGTCCCAGACGCTGAAACCTTTCCGCATAGCAGAGTCGCTCCATCCACTTGATCATTTGGGTGGTCCTTTTCTGAACCTTTTTCAACTATACAATATCCTTTTTGAGGTGAGGTGACCAGAACTGTAGTTGTTGTTGTTTAGTCGTTTAGTCATGTCCGACTCTTCGTGACCCCCTGGACCAGAGCACGCCAGGCATTCCTGTCTCCCACTGCCTCCCCCAGTTTGGTCAAACTCATGATGGTAGCTTCGAGAACACTGTCCCACCATCTCGTCCTCTGTCGTCCCCTTCTCCTTGTGCCCTCCATCTTTCCCAACATCAGGGTCTTTTCCAGGGAGTCTTCTCTTCTCACGAGGTGGCCAAAGTATTGCAGCCTCAGCTTCACGATCTATCCTTCCAGTGAGCACTCAGGGCTGATTTCCTTCAGAATGGAGAGGTTTGATCTTCTTGCAGTCCATGGGACTCTCAAGAGTCTCCTCCAGCACCAGAATTCAAAAGCATCCATTCTTCGGCAATCCGCCTTCTTTATGGTCCAGCTCTCACTTCCATACATCACTACTGGGAAAACCATAGCTTTAACTATACAGACCTTTGTTGGCAAGGTGATGTCTCTGCTTTTTAAGATAATATGCCAAATGCAGTCGCACCATAAATTTCTATAACAGCATTATGATATCATTTTATTTTCAATTCCTCTCCCAATTCCTAGCATGGAATTTGCCTTTTTCACAGCCACCGCACACTGGGGTTAACATCTTCATTGAGCTATCTACTATGATCCCAAGGTCATGCTCCTAGTCCGTCACCTCTGGTTCAGTCCCCATGAGTATGCGCAGTAAGCCTGCAACATATAAAGGTGGCCATGTTCAGCGGCTTGTGCCTAAAGCCAAAATCATGTATAGTCAAAATCCTCTGGGTTCAGTGGTGGTTAGGATTGCCAATGTTATTTTCCCCAGAACCCTGCCCCTTAAAAAAAATAAATCTATTTTTTGCCCTGTGCGTAAATCTGAATGCACACAAATGAACTGTGTGTAAATGGTGGGCTTACTCTATGTCAAATTAAGGGTTTTTTCACCCTGGCACATATCACTTCACACTTATTTACAAAGAACTGCATGTGCCATTTTACCACCCATTCACTCGTTTTGAAGAGCTCCTGACCCCAAACAACTTAACACCCCTCTGCAAACTTGGGCCACCCCTCCGCTGCCTTCCCAACTCCAAGACAACATTTTATGCAATGTGGTTTTTTTAGGAACTTTTCATTAGAGCACGTCTTCTTTTTGCAAATAAAGGGGGAAGAAAGTAGATATTTTATTGCAATGACACGTTTATTTTATGTATGATGCCATTATGGTAACATATTGCTTTTAGATGTTTCTATTTTAGCTGTAAACCACCTTGAGTTCAGGGGGAAAGGCAGGGTATGTATGTATGTATGTATGTATGTATAAATATTTTCCCCCAACAGTCAGTTGCAACCCTTAACTTTCCAAAGCCAGAGGTGTGCAAGGAAGTATAACTGAAAAACCGCCTTATGCAGGCTGTGAGTGAGATGGAATGCCCTTTATTGGAGCAAATCCTGGGGATAGCTCAGTCACTGGAGCACGAGACTCTCAGTCTCAGGGTCGTGGGTTCGAGCCCCACGTGGGGAAAACAGATCCCTGCATTGCAAGCGGGTTGGACTACATGACCCCCGTGGTCCCTTCCAACTCCACGTGAAAATCATTGCTCCAGTTGCGAAACAGCCGCCTCTGCTGCGCCTTAGAAACAGCCAACCTAATGCAACCTATCTAAGATTGCGGAGCATGCGCACTGGGGCTTGGCTTCTCCCTCGGAGAGAGGCGGGCCAAGAGCCGCGCATGCTCCCTCCAAACACCACCGCGCGAGGTCCCCGACCCACCTCCTCAGGGCGCAGGCGCCGATAGCGGCCGGGGAGAGCTCGCGCATGCGCCACAGTCTCGAGAATAACTTCTCCCTCACGAGCTGCGCTCTCTCTGTCTCACTCGAGGCGCATGCGCGGCCTAGTCCTTCGCTCTGGCTCGAGGCGCCCGGCTCCCCTCAGGAGGCCGCTTTTTAAGTCTCATCTCTCTCTCTCTCTCTCTCTCTCTCTCTCTCTCTCTCTCTCCCCGCTCACTTACCCAGGAGGCGCACAAGGCTCCGGCCGGGCAGGACCTCTCGTTCCCCGGCTGCCTTGAGGGCAGAAGAGGCGGCTTCTCCCATGGCTGCGAAAGCGAGGAAGAGTCTGCGGAGGCCGACGGAACTCATCGCCCCTCCCCCCACCCACCCACCCCATAAACTGGGGCAAAAGGGACGGAGAGGCGGCGGCCGTCAGGTGGCGCGCGCATGCGCCGGGACGGAACCCCTGTCGCGAGGCTCGGGGTGGGGGAGGGGAGGGCACGTGGTCAGCGGCTGGGCGCGAGCGATGGGGAGTCACGTGCCCCCGGAGAGGAAAGGTGCAGTTGCGCACGCGCGGGCGGGAACTTACCTTGCATAATATTGGGGGTGTTTTTTAACGCCTATGGGGGGGGGCGGAGGGCGGGCAATGGATCAAATTACGTTGCAAACCTCCCCGCGGTGGTCGGTACAGAAATGCAATTGATGATCATAAAATTAATTATCAATAATAATGCTTGTTGTTTAATGTTAATTCGATATTAATTTATTATGTCTGCTGCATCAGAGGCTAAAGCCCGAATTAATGGATTCAAGTTGCAAGGAGGGAAATTCTGACCAAACCTTGCCCAAGCAGGTGTGATGGCAAGGGGCGGAACTGAGTTATCTGTCACACAATTGGTTAGTTAAGTATTCTTATTTATTTACCTGATTTGGGAGGCAGCTCCCCGCTACACCCATGTGTGATGGTAGTAAACGGTTAAAAAGATAAAGGATCCCTGGACGGTTAAGTCCAGTCAGAGGTGACTACAGTCATACCTTGGGTTGAGTGCGTTTGAGTTGCGCTCCGCAGCAACCCGGAAGCGCGTTACTTCCGGGTTTCGCCGCAGACGCTCAAAATGACATCATGCGCAGAAGCAGCAAAACGCAACCCGCAGGCGCGCCGTTGCGGCTTACGTTGTGTTCAGGATGCGAACGGAGCTCTGGAACGGATCCCATTCGCATCCCAAGGTACCACTGTATGAGGTTGCGGCGCTTGTCTCGCTTTCAGGCTGAGGGAGCCGGCGTTTGTCCACAGACATCTTTCTGGGTCACGTGGCCAGCAGGACTAAACCTGCTTCTGGTGCAACCGAACACCGTGATGGAAGCCAGAGCGCACAGAAACGCCATTTACCTTCCCGCCGCAACGGTACCTATTTATCTACTTGCACTGGCGTGCTTTCGAACAGCTAGGTTGGCAGGAGCTGGGACAGAGCAACGGGAGCTCACCCCATTGTGCAGGTTCGAACTGCCGACCTTTTGATCAGCAAGCCCAAAGGCTCTGTGGTTTACACCACAGTGCCACCCACATAGTAGATGATGCGCTAAATGGGTGCCTGACTCTTGGGAATGGACTGCCTGAGAACATTTTTGTCAGGGGTCGACTTTTCCCCCAAAGAAGGTTTCGTACCTCAGTGACATGAGAGGCAGAAACGCAAAGGGCACAGCTCACCCTAGCATGGCAATGGAGTGATGGGAAGTGCTGTGGTATTTCTGCTTATTGTGCAGCTGATAAAAAAAGGCAGTGAAAATCAGGAAAGATAAGACATCAGGAAGAACTTTCTGATGGTATGAGCTCTTCAACAGTGGAATGAATCCCATAAGAGGAGGTAGACTCCTGTTCCATGGAGGTTTTCAAGTAGAGGTTGGATGGCCATTGTCATGTATCATCTCGTTGAATCATAGAATCATAGAGTTGGAATAGACCACAAGGGCCATCGAGTCCAACCCCCTGCCAAGCAGGAAACACCATCAGAGCACTCCTGACATATGGTTGTCAAGCCTCTGCTTAAAGACCTCCAGAGAAGGAGACTCCACCACACTCCTTGGCAGCCAATTCCACTGTCGAACAGCTCTTACTGTCAGGAAGTTCTTCCTAATGTTTAGGTGGAATCTTCTTTCTTGTAGATTGGATCCATTGCTCCGTGTCCGCTTCTCTGGAGCAGCAGAAAACAACCTTTCTCCCTCCTCTATGTGACATCCTTTTATATATTTGAACATGGCTATCATATCACCCCTTAACCTCTTCTTCTCCAGGCTAAACATGCCCAGCTCCCTTAGCCGTTCCTCATAAGGCATCGTTTCCAGGCCTTTGACCATTTTGGTTGCCCTCCTCTGGACACGTTCCAGTTTGTCAGTGTCCTTCTTGAACTGTGGTGCCCAGAACTGGACACAGTACTCCAGGTGAGGTCTGACCAGAGCAGAATACAGTGGCACTATTACTTCCCTTGATCTAGATGCTATACTCCTATTGATGCAACCCAGAATTGCATTGGCTTTTTTAGCTGCCGCGTCACACTGTTGGCTCATGTCAAGTTTGTGGTCAACCAAGACTCCTAGATCCTTTTCACATGTACTTCCTGCATTGCAAGGGGTTGGACTAGATGACCATGGGGTCCCTTCGAGCTCTGCAGTTCTATTATTCTATTGACTTACAGCATTTATACCCTACCCTTTTTGGCCAAAAACACCATTCAAGTCGGCTTACAGAAAACATGTCCATAGAGGGCTAACAATAATAATAATAATAAATACATGGTACATGAGGAAAAAAAGGAATGGAAGGGAGGAGGAAGGGAAACTACATAAGGCACACAGGTTCCTGAAGTTATAGGCAGTTTCAGTGATGGTTCTGGCTGTCTTCCCCTTGAAAAATAAGCCCCTGTCCTGAAGTGCTCTTCGGCTTCCAAACGCCGAAAACCCGGAAGTAAATGCTCCGGTTTTCAAACATTTTTCAGAAGCTGAACATCTGACGCAGCTTCCACTTGACGCAGCAACCAATCGAAGCTGCGCCTTGGTTGTCAAACATTTCGGAAGGCGAATGGGCTTCTGGAACAGATTACATGCGGCAACCCAGGTTGGACTATACATGCTCAGACCGCCGTGCCCCAGTGAGCAACGTGGCCGCCAAATCCTGCACCAGCTGAAGTTCCTAAACCATGAATAATGCATTGCAGTGCTCTATAACTATCCATACAGATAGGGGCGCAGCTGAGCCATCAGCAGAAGCTGATGGAAGGCACTCTGCACCACTGATGCCCCGAGCAGGACTGAAGAATCTATGCCCCCTCAAATAGTTGCTGACTCTCGGCTCCCATCACCCCTAACTGGGGCTGATGCTTATTTATTGATGCTTATTAACGTGATAAAACGTAAACCACTGTGTGTCTGTCTTCGCTAGAAGAGTGGTACACAAGCACCCTAAACAAACCTTGGGGATCTCCTCTTAACTACAATAACAGGTGGTTTTATTTATTAATAAATAAATAAAGGATCTTAAAGACCCAACAAAGTCTTCTGGTACCAGAAAGCATGGGTAGGCAAACTTAAGGCCTTCTAAATCCGGCCTGCGGATAGTCTGGGAATCAGCATGTTTTTACATGAGTAGAATGTTTGCTTTTATTTAAAATGCATCTCTGGGTTATTTGTGGGGCATAGGAATTTGTTCATATATATATTTTTTTCAAAATATAGTCCGGCCCACCACATGGTCTGAAGGACAGTGGACTGACCCACAGCTGAAAAAGGTTGCTGACCCCTGCTTTAAAGACTAAGAAGTGCGTATGCACACGAAAGCTCATACCAAGAACTAACTTAGTTGGTCTTTAAGGTGCTACTGGAAGGAATTTTTATTTATTTATTATGACATAAGCTGTTATGGAGCAGGGCCCACATCATCGGATGCAGCTCCGTTAGATTTTCGGTGTCTTAAAATTATAAGTTGAAGGTTTCCATTCAGTTTATTTATATGCCTAAAGCGGCTTGCGATAAACATGTAGCTTGCCATCCAAATACATAACATTTGGGGAAGCATGATTTGTTACGAAACATAAACAAACTCAAAACGAAATAAATCAGCAGCTTAATAAACCTAGGGTAACACTTAGGCACTGTACAATTAGGCAGGGCTGTCTGACATCTGTTCACAGAATGTGTCCCAGCTTTACGGTTGTTGTTGCTGCTGCTGCTGCAACCGCCCGTGAGCGAGCAGGCACTGCGTGTCACGTAAAATGCGAACTGGGCCCCCAGCTTTTTGCAAATGCTGACGTCTTAAATCTTTTCCGCAGCACCAGTGTTACACGGGCTGAAGAGGGGCTCCGTGAGAGCAGGTGTGCATTTGTTTCACACGGTATGGATTTCTTAATGCGGCCTAAGATGCTCACAGGCAGATTATAAAGAAATGCGCAGGCGTAACGACATGCATTGTGTAGGTTGTTAGTTTGCGTAACACCGTACTTTCAGAGTTCTTCTGAACATTACCAAATAGATAATCTCCTTGGGTGGGGCGGGGGGGGGATCTTCTCCTTCGTCAGGAATTTTTGGTTTTTGCAACGGATTCCCTCAAGCCACCTGGTGGATTTCCAGCATAACTACAGCATCAGGGAGCTATGCCGGCAGCTGAACGCTCCTAGTGACTCTTGTTAATGCCAGTGTCGGTCCCAAAGATTGAGAACAACAGGGCACGTCCCAAGAAAAGAATAAAAATCCCAGAGGGCAGAACTAGCTCCATCCAGGAGGAATCATCCACTGGCTAGTGCCCTGAACCACAGGGTACCTGGCGGCGAGTCCCACAGGTGTAAATGATTCCATGGCAGATGCTGTCACAGAGTCCAGCAGTCCAACAAATCCAAAGTCCAGTCAGGCCAGGTTCCTGCCTCTGTATCCGATCCGATCAGGACACCTAAAGGTCAGTCCCACACATGAACAGTCCCAAAGAGCATCTCCTGGTATGTCCCACAGAGGACCTTACGGTCTTCAAACAAAAACATCTTGGAGGTCCTGGGCCACACGGAGGTTAGGCTGGCCTCAACCAGAGCCAGGGCTTTTTCGGCTGTGGCCCCGATCTGGTGGAACGCTCTGTCACAAGAGACTACGGCTCTGGGACTTGACATCTTCCCGCAGGGCCTGCAAGACAGAGCTGTTCCACCTGGCCTTTGGTCGAGGCACAGTCTGACCCCCTCCTTTGGTAATCCTCACAGAACTCTGGCCCAATGGTTGCCATTAATTTGATTTTGAACTGATTTTAGATTGAATTGATTTTAGACTGCTGTATCACTTTACTGTTGTTAGCTGCCCTGAGCCCGGCTTTGGCTGGGGAGGGCGGCATATAATTATTAATATTATTATTATTATTATTATTATTATTATTATTATCCAAGCCATGATCCAACCATTGTGGGGAGTTGAGCAGACACAGCACCTCCGCTCTGCTTCCCTTTTATACCTTGCAT